CGTCCGGCACGTTGCGCCGGTGCGCGCAGACGCTGTAGGCGGACGAGTGGCTGAAGATGACGGGCGCCCTGGAGAAGGCCAGCGCGTCCTTCATGGTCTTCACGGACACGTGCGCCAGGTCCACGATCATGCCCAGGCGGTTCATCTCCTGCAGCACCGTCTGCGTGGACGCGCGCAGGGCACGGTGGGCACAGGGTGCAGGGCACAGCCGCGGGCACCCTGCGCACACAGCCCCGGCTCCTCGGCGTTCCCGCACAGGCACCTTGGCCCAGCGCAGGGCTCGGTGCTGCTCGAGGCCATCCCCGTCCCGCGCCCAGCGCTGCCCCACTCACCCGGCCGAAGGGCGAGAGGCCGTTGTGCCGGGCCGGCTCGCCCGTGTCCACCAGCCAGTTGTCGGCCCTGCGGAGCGGCAGCGCCGGGATGCAGAGCCCAGGGAGCCCGCGCCCGTCCGCGGCGCCCAGCCCGGCTGCATTCCCGCCTGCAGCCCCATCCCGGCTTTGCTTCCTATTCCAGCCGCAGCCCTGTCTCAGCGGCATCCCCCATCCTGGCTGGATCCCCCATCCTGGCTGGATCCCCCGTCCTGGCTGGATCCCTCATGCTGGCTGCAGCCCCATCCTGGCCACGTCCCCCATCGCAGCTGCATCCCTATCCCAGCTGCATCCCCATCCCAGCCACATCCCCATCCCAGCCACATCCCCATCCCAGCCACATGTCTCATCCCAGCCGCATCCCCATCCCAGCCATATGTCCCACACCCGTATCCCCATCCCGGCCGCGCGCCCGGCGGTGCCCGCGGCGGGCGCTACCAGGGCGTGCTGCAGCTGTGGGTGAGGGTCATGTAGCGCACGCCCAGGCGGTAGAAGGTGCGCAGGACGCCCAGGCTGCTGTCGATGGAGTGGCCGCCCTCCACGCCGATGAGGCTGGCCACCTTCTTGTCGAGGAAGGCCTGCTCGATGCCTGGGGCGCGCAGCGGGCGCTCAGACGGGGACGGGGACGGGCCCTGCCGTGTCCCGTGGCCGTCCCCGTCCCCGGCTCACCGGCGCTGTCCACGACGCAGACGAAGGTGTCGGGGTAGAGCTCGCACATGCGGTGCACCACGTCTATCTGCTCCAGCGTGCGCTTCACCGCGTCCTTGTCCTGCGTGTCGCAGGGCACRTACACGGACCAGAACTGCCCGGGATGGAGCCCATCAGCGCTGGGGCCAGCTCCGTGTCCCCCTGCCCACCCCAGTGCCCAGCCCTGTCCCCTGCCTGTCCCCGTGCCCATCTCCGTGTCCCCCTGCCCAGCTCTGTGTTCCCCCCTGCCCGCAGCAGTGCCCGTGTCCACGTCCCCCCGCCCACCCCGCTGCCCGTCACCCCCGGGCCGTGCAGCCGCCCGTCCCACCTGCCCGCCCACGTGCCCGCGGAGCAGCTTGGGGATGTTGGTGTGGGTGCCGTTGAGCACCGTCAGGTTGGACTCCGGCAGCCGCAGCTGGTTGTTGAACCTCTTGAGGAGCTGCCAGGGCAGGTCATTGTGCCTGGGCCAACAGAGCTGGCAGGTCAGGGGCGTCCGGAGGCCGTCCCCTCAATCCATCCATCCATCCATCCATCCATCCATCCATCCATCCATCCATCCACCCACACATCCATCCACGCATCCACCCGAGCTTGGGTGGCCATCTGGACAGCCTCTTGCGCCGTCCCCCGGCTCAGGCCTCTCCTGCGGAGCCCTTCCCTTCCCTTCCCTTCCCTTCCCTTCCCTTCCCTTCCCTTCCCTTCCCTTCCCTTCCCTTCCCTTCCCTTCCCTTCCCTTCCGCACGCGGGGAGCGAGGCTGGTCCCGCGGCAGGGACCTGAGCGCTCCGGGGACGTCGGCGCCCCGCGGCGTCACCCGCCCCGCGGCGGCGCTGGGGAAATGCCGGGCGCCCGCGCGGGCTCCCACTTCTGCTCTGCTGCGTCACGGCCCGCCGCATCCCCCGGCACGCCCGCCCCGGTCCCGCTTCCCACGCCGCCCCACGGTGCCCCACGCCGGGGCCCTGGGTGCTCCCCATCCTGGGTGCTGGCGCCAGCCCTGCGGGGGGCTGAGCAGCCCCCAGCACCCTGGGGACCCCTGGGGTGACCGGAGCCGCCGCTGCACCGGCAGCATGGGCCRTGCTGGGACCAGCGCCCGGGGCCTGGGGACATCCCTGAGGACGTGGCCGGTTTGCCCCGAGCGGGGACTTCCCTGCGCGAGCAGCGCTGCGGGAAGCCGCTCGCTCCCCTGGGAGCGCCTGGCCCCGCTTCCCGGCACCCGGCCCCGCGCCCGCCCCGCTGCTCCGCGGGGATCCCCCAGCACCCCCGGCAGGCAGGGCYCGGCCCTGGAGCAGGGATCCCCATGGGATCTCCCGCAATGCACAGCCCCAGGCATGGAGCAGGGGTCTCCAGCAGGGCACAGCGTGGGGACATGGAGCAGGGATCCCTGGTAGGGCACAGACCAGGGACAAGGATCAGGGATCCCCATGGGATCTCCAGCAACACACCGCCCAGGGCATGGAACAAGGATCCCCATGGGATCCCCGGCAGGACACAGCCTGGGGACATGGAGCAGGGATCCCCATGGGATCTCTAGCAACGCACCGCCCGGGGCATGGAACAAGGATCCCCATGGGATCCCCGGCAGGACACAGCCTGGGGACATGGAGCAGGGATCCCCATGGCACCTCCGGCCGCGCTGCAGCCCCGTGGGGCTTTCCTGGCCGGGGGGCTCCTTGGGGAAGCKCGAGCGCTGCCGCGTGCCCAGACTCATGCCAGGAGGAGCAGAGTCCCCAGCCGGCGTGCCAATGCCCAGGCAACCTTTGGAGCGGCGGCCATGGCACACGCGGCGGGCGGGCGGCGAGGCGGCGCGGGGGCCGCGGCGGGGCTCGGCGGGGCTCACCCGTCGATCACCGGCGTGGTGCCCATGATGCGCTCGGCGTCGTCGCGGTGCGTCTGGCCGCGGCAGCGCAGCAGCAGGCACAGCACCAGCAGGCTCCCGCGCAGCATCTCCGCGGGCACCGCGCGCTCGCTCGCCGGCCGCGCGCCCTCCGAGTGTGGGTGCTGCAGCCTCCTCCCGGCCTCCTCGTCCTCCCCCTGCCCTGGTAAATAAATAACCACCCAGCCAGGGCCATAAACCCATCCCGGCGCCCCGGCAGTGCCCGGCAATTGTGTGCGGGATGTCTGCAGCACCTCCCCATTCGTGGCTGCATTCTGCTGGCGGAGGCCCAAAGCCCCCAGGGCCCCCCAGTGCCCCAGCTCACCCTGCCACCCCGGGGGTCCCCCAGTGCCCCAGCTCACSCTGCCACCCCGGGGGTCCCCCAGTGTTTCCAGCTCACCCTGCCACCCCGGGGGTCCCCCAGTGTCCCCCGCTCACCCGGTCACCCCCGGGATCGTGGCGGCCGCGCTGCTCGGTGCCGCAGCCACGCGGTGCGCTCTGCAGCTTGCGTGCTGCCGGCGGGACGGCGACGGGCTGCGGCCCCAGCCGTGACGATTCCCAGATGTGATGCTGGGAAGGCGAGCACGGAGCCGGCGCGTCCCGGCAGGACGCAGCGCCTGGGCCCCGCGGGCTCCCCTGGCACCGAGGGCGGCGCTGGCCGCCTGCCCCRCTCCCCAGTGCTGTACCAGCCACCCTGGCACTTGCCCCCCGGACCCCTCATGTCGCCAAGGGGGAAACTGAGGCACGTGGCGCTGCCCATGCCCGTCCCCATCCCGCGGGGCGGGCGGGTGAGCGGGGTGCCCGGGGCTCCGTGCGCGCCGTGTCCTGCGGCGGTGCCCGGCCCGCGGCAGCCCTGGCGGCCCCGTGCGTGCGGGACGGCCCCGCTGCAGGAATGCGCGGGGGGGACGCGGCCGCCCGCCCCGGCTTCCTCTTTTGCCGCTATTTAAGGCCGCGGGCGGCGGCGCCTGCCGGGCGGCGGGGCCATGGAGCGCCTGGGGGTGACGGAGACCTTCGCCGGCATCTCCCTGCCGGGCCACCTCCACACCAAGGAGTCCCTGCACTTCGCCACCACCTTCCCCTTCCGCGACACCGACGTGCTCATCGTCACCTACCCCAAGTCTGGTGGGAGCCCGCGGTGGGACGGGGACAGGGCTGGGGCGCGGGCAGGGGCCGTGGGGACGGGAATGGGGCTGTGGGCACAGGCAGGCCGTGGGGACGGGGCCATGCCGGGACTCCAGGGCAGTGGGGCAGGGGGGTTCTGCAGGCGGCCCGGCGGGACCCGGCCGCGCGGCACCGCCGGCGTGGCGGGCGGGAGGGCGCGGGACGTGGCGGGGACACCGCAGCTCCAGCACGGGACCCCCCTGCCCGCGCAGCCCCGGAGCCTGCGGGGACCCCTGGCCTCCTGAGGAGCCCCAAGGGGGTGAGGGGGGAGGCTGCCTCCAGACTGTCCCCGATCCCAGCCGGGCTCCGCCCTGTCCCCATTCCCAGCCTCATCCCGCTCCCGGCCCCACCCCAGCCTGTTTCCAGCTCCAGGCCATTCCCAGCCTCATTTCGCTCCCATTCCAGCCCTATCCTGTTCCCAGACTTGTCCCCAGCCCTGTCTCCAGCTGATGCCAGCTCCAGCCCCTCCCCATCCCCATCACCATCCCATTCCCACCCCATCCCCATCCCCATCCCATCCCATCACCCTCCCCATCCCCATCCCCATCACCCTCCCCGTCCCAGCTCCATGCCGCCCGTGTCCCCGTGCCGCGCGGTGCCATGGGGCGCACGGGGGGGCTGCGCTGACGCCCACCGCCCGCAGGCACCACGTGGATGCAGGAGATCCTGACGCTGCTGTTCAGCGACGGGGACGCGGGGCCGGCCCGCACCATCCCCAACTGGGAGCGGGCGCCGTGGCTGGAGCAGACCTACTTCAAGGAGGCGCTGCGGGACACGGGTGGCCCCCGCCTCATCACGAGCCACCTGCCCGCGCGCGTGCTGGCCCCGGCGCTGCAGCGCGCCCGCCCCAAGGTGCCGGCGGCTCCGCGGGGCTTTCCCAGCGGGACGCGGGGCTTTCTGGGCCCCGGCGGCGTCGCCCGCTCACGCGCCGCCCCGCGCCAGGTCATCTACGTGGCCAGGAACCCCCGGGACGTGGCCGTCTCCTTCTACCACTTCCACCGGCTGGCCAAGTTCCTGCCGGAGCCCGGCTCCTTCGACGCCTTCCTGGGGCGCTTCCTGGAGGGCTCGGGTAAGCCGCGGGCGGGGGGCGGCGGCGGGGGCRCGGGCGCCGCTCACCCCCGYGCCCGCAGTGCAGTACGGCTCCTGGTTCGAGCACGTCAAGGGCTGGCTGGGCCAGCGGCAGCTCCTCGACATCTTCTACGTCACCTACGAGGAGCTGCACCAGGTGAGCGGCCCCGTCCCTGTCCCCGTCGCGGCGGCCGTCGCGGCGCCCTGCTCAGCCCTGCCCGTGTGCAGGACCTGCCGGGCGCCGCGCGGCGCCTGGGCGCCTTCCTGGGCCGCGCGCCGTCGCCCGAGACGCTGCGCAGCCTGGAGCGGCACTGCAGCTTCGCCGCCATGCGCGACAACGCCATGGCCAACTACAGCCTCATCCCGCGCGAGATCATGGACCACAGCCGCGGGCGCTTCATGCGCAAAGGTGAGGGGCGGCCGGGGCGGCGCGGGGCCGCCCGCTGCCCGCGCCGCTGCAGCCGCGCTGCCCGCCGCAGGCGTCGTGGGCGACTGGCACGAGCACTTCTCGCCGCTGCAGAGCGCCCTCTTCGACCGCGTCTACCGCGAGCAGATGGGCGGCGTGGCGCTGCGCGCGCCCTGGCACGTGGCCTGAGCGGGGACGGGGTGCAGGGACTGCCCCCRGCTGCTGCCCCCGTGCAATCCCCTGCATCCCGCCACTGCAACCCGTGCAACTCTCCTGCTACCCCCGCCTTGTGGCCTGTGCAGCTCCCTGCATCCCCTCATTGCAACCCGCGCAGCTCCCTGCACCACGGCGATGCCGTCCCCATGCACCACGGTGTCACCCCGCTGGTGCCCTTGCAGCCCGTGCAGCCTCTTGCATGCCCGCACTCGCACTCCCTTGCAGCCCATGCACCCCCCCCGCTGCATTGCCGGTGCCGTGCAGCCGCGCTGCACAATAGCCGGGCCGGGGGCCACCTTGGGGACGCTTCCGTCCTGGTGTCCCGGCCGCGGGGCCCTTCCTTCCCCTTTGGCTGCCACCCGCGGCCTCGGTCCCCAGCTCGGCGGTGGCCGGGCCCCGGCAGGAAAGCGCGGCCCCAAATACATATTTATTGCTGCCCGGGGTTGCGTGCGTGTGCTCGCCGGCGCCGGCCGCAGGAAGAGCCCCGGCCTTATCGGGGCCGCATCGGGGAGGAGGCGAATCCGCAGGGAACGTTATCTCCGGCGGGGGGCAACGACCGGGCGGGCGCCACGCTGGCGCGGCCGGGACCGGCGCCTGCGGCCCCACGGCAGGGCGGGGGACTGCCCTCACGTCCCCATGTCCCCAGAGCCCCCTGCTCTGCCCAGCACCCCCACAATGGCCCCCTACCAACAGTGCCACCCTCTGAATAGCGCAGAGCCCCCCGCTCTGCCCCTGTCCTGTGTCCCTCTGTCCCCGGAGCCCTCCYGCTGCCAGGGACGGCTGTGCTGCCCCCCCAGGTCCCCCGGTGCCCACAGGGGTCCCGGGGCGGCTCCCGCGGGCGCCGCGTTCCCATGGCAACGCGCGTTATCCCCCTGGCGAGGGGATGACTCAGGAGCTATAAATACACAGGGATGGGGCCGGCTCTCGGAGCGGCGGCCGCGGCGGCACCGGGCAGGGCGGCGCGCGGGGACGGGGACAGGGAYGGGGACGGGGACRCGTCCCCGGGGCRCACGGGCACCTTGCACGGGACRGGCCCTGCGGCGCGGCGCCGTGTGCTGCACACAGGCCGGGCACAGGGCACAGCGCACGTGGCACGTGCTGGATGCACCCGGCACGTGCTGACTGCACGGAAGAGGCTGCACGCACCGCCGCAGGGCGCGGGCACGCAGCAGTGCACGGCACGCTGCAGGCGCCACGGCGCTTGGCACGGGAGCCGCGCAGCACACGGCATGCAGCACAGAATGCATGGCACGGTGCAGAGCCCACGCCACGTGGCACACGCTGCGCGGCACGGGGTGCAGCGCAGCGCATGGCCCGGTGCGTGTCATGACGCACGGCACACTGCATGGCACGGTGCATGGCACAGGGTGCAGCACGCTGCCTGCTCCTGGCACAACACCCAGCGTGGGCACTGTCAGGAGCCAAGGGCTGCTGCTGATCCCGTCCCTCTCTGTCCACTCTGGATTTCCCGGGCAGGTTGCGCTGCCCGCTCCGATGCCCAGGCTCCTCCTGATGAAGGTCCTGGCCGGTGCGCGGCAGCAAGGAGCAGGCGGCACGGGGCAGGGGGCTCCTTGCTTTATTGGCGGGGGGGTCATGCAGCTGGGCGGCGCCGTCGCAGCGACGAAGAAGCGCGGGATAGCGGGACAGGGGGCAGCGGGATGGGCACACGGCACACAGGGTCTGGTGGGTGCAGCACAGTGCAGCGTGGCACAGCACGG